TTTGTTATTATAGCATTAGCGGTTTAGGAGATATGCACATTAAACCTATTAGAGGCGGGACCACGCCCACTTTAAAAAAAAGTTTTAACTGCAGATGCCCCTCCCAATGTGGTCTGTGTACCAAATAACAGTCTTGTATTTATTCGGAGCTTAGTTATGGCAATTATTTGTTTTGATTAATAGCGTTTGTGGGCGTGGCAGTGGTCCGATTACGCCCATCTACAATACCAACCGTCTCACGGTACCAAGAAACATGTCTACCAAGTTTCCATAAGGAAGTAGAGCTTGCACGGACGGACGGACGGACGGACGGACAGACAGTCACACGGATTTCAACTCGTCTCTTCATCCTGATCATTTATATATACATAACCCTATATCTAACTCGATTGTTTTAGGTGATACAAACAACCGTTAGGTAACAAAACTATTATACTCTGTAGCAACAGGTTGCGGAGATAAAAAGACTTCTGGATCTTTTATATGGAGCATATGAGACCAATCATATAAACTACTAATTACTTTATAAGATTGTTGTTAATGAATAGTTTCTTTAAGCATAGACTTTATAGAGAACAAATCAATAAATATTCATTTGTAGCAATATCAGAATTTAATAAATTGATGTTAAAATCCAACTAGAAAATGATTTATTCCCATGCTTGTTTACGTCTAAAAATTTAGTTATTGGATTTCTAAAGTTTTCTTTAGGAATGTCATGACATCTATATAAACCCGATATTTTAACATTTTTATACCTTCATTTCATTATCGTTGAGATAATTTCACGTGACAAATATATTTATCTCAACACCATGTTTTAAAGATTTTTAATATATAAAAACTGATTGGTAAATATTCGTTAGCATTTATTATCAAAATTAACCGACTTGTATTTAAACAGTTCCAATTTTAATTTCCATATAATTGGATTTACAGAAACATGGTTAAAATCTCACATTTTGATAATGAGATTTAAAACAGCGAATTTCAAATATTTAGTATTATGTGATCGACTGAACGGAATCGGTGGAGGTGCTCTATTTGCCGTACATTCCCATCCCATCTGAAGATATTCTTGTTCCAGGAACCGACTCATTAAATTTAAATGTATTAGAGTCTATGTTAATAGTTGCTTTATTTATATAACCCTGTCTTATATACCACCCCATTCGAACTTATCTGTATTCATGCAGCATACTTCTTTAAATAATAGTGCGCTTCGATGGCAAAATAGCAGATTCAATAATCGTATTAGGAGATTTCAATTTACCGTGTGCTTCGTGGAAAGTTTTCGATGAATATACGTACGATTCAATCGGTCATGTTTCTGAGTTTCTCGAAAAATGCCCGAGTTGGGTCTGAACGAAATTAATGATTCCGAATAAATTTGGTAATGTCTAGATTTAGTATATGTTGATACCTCTTCAAAGTGTTCCGTTATTCAGAGTAATCCTCTTGTACTACCAGAGGACTCGTATCATCCTGCTTTGGAAATATCTGTCGAAATCATAAGCATGTACGCGATAATAATTATCAAACTTCGTGCTTCTGTACTCGGTTCAACTTTGCAAAAGCTAATTTAAAAAGTTAAATCAGAAATCTACAATATCATGGCCTAATTATAATGGTGCTATTGAATTGAGTGTCTCTCTTTATATATACAATAACATTATTACGAAATTATTTAAAAGTATGTTCCAATAGAATTTAATAAAAGTAAAAGTAGAAGTCCGTGGTCGTCGAAAGAGTTACATAATTTGAAAAACAGAAAAACTCGAGCCTTTAAACATTTTAAAAAAACCGGTTCACTTGTCGACTATTCTAAATATTCAGATTGCGCCGACAATATTTTGACCTAACAAAAAATGTTATAAAATTTCTAAATAAGTAAAAAGAATGTTGCAATAATCCAAAATCTTTTATGATTTCGTCAACTCCAAACTCAGGATTCTAAATTTCCGTCCGCGATGAAATACAAATCTATCATCAAATGTTGTTATTATCATTCAAATAATGTTATTATATCCAATATGTTTGCAGAATTTTCAAGTTAAACTACTGTAATAATTTTCAAGTCAAACTACTGTAATAATTCTTTCAAAACTTTTTCTTATCAGCACGTGCTGTGTTCGAATACTTTATTAACGCTCCAATTATTTCTGAAGAAGACGTCCTACTTAAATTAAATAAGTTAAAACCATCTTTAGTTACCGCCCAGACATGATACCCTCATGCTTCCAAAAAATAGTGCCAAATATATTTACTTGCCTTTGACAAGGATATTTAATTCCTCTCTTAAACACGGTATATTTCCTTCAATATTGAAACAGTCATTTATAATTCCTTTGCATAAAAGTGGATTTAGATCAACATTGAAAACTATAGAGGTATCGCAAAAACAATTTATACCTAAACTTTTTGAAGCTATCATCACTGACCATTCAACCTTTTCGATTTCTCCGTTAATTTCCTCATCTCAGCATGGATTTCGTAAAGGGAATCGCTCTAACAAACTTGCTTGAATTTGTAAACCAGGTATCATTGGGTTTTAGGAACATAAGTATACGGATGTTTATAACACAGACTTTAGCAAAGCTTTGATAAAGTAAACCCTCGACCAACGAGTGATATTTGAGAATATACCTCAGATACAATAATGTTTCTCAGGTGTTCCGCAAGGTAGTCATCTTGGCGATTCTGTTCTTGTTTTTATTAACGATATCTCTTCAGTAATTGAATTCTCAAAATTTATTGTACGCTGACGACGTAAAGCTTTTTAAATCATACACTTCAACAGAGGAAAGGTGTCTGTTGCAAACAGACTTAAACAATATGTTGCATGGTGTAGAAATGACTTGCCATTGAATCTGAATAAAGTAAGACGATGTGCTTTTCCCGTAGATCTGTGCACCCTCTTCTTATGTAATAAAACACCATATTGTGGAGCAAGTTTTAACTATGTTGATTTGGGAGTTAATATGACCCTAAGCTTAATTTTGTCTTCATATTGACACCATGGTCTTGAAAGCAAAAGCTATCTCTATATTATATATATTACTAAAACACTTATACAACTTTGTTAGACCTATATTGGAATAGGCTCTGTTGTATGGAACCCTAACTACCAAATTCATTCTGACAAGTTAGAGTCTGTTCAAAAACAATTTTTACTTTTCGCCTTAGCGCATTTCCGATGGGATTCTAGGGTAAGTCTACCTCCAAACACTATTCGTTTAAAACTTATTAATCTACCTACACTTTTTAGTCGTAGGGAAATGCTTGGCATAATATTCTTAGTGAAAATCTTGAATGGAACAGTTTGCAATCTTTTCTCCTGTCTGAAATTAAATTTAATATCCCGATTCGTTTTTCGGGGCAGTTTAGACCTTTACTGTTAAAATCCTGTTGATCAAATTTTGAACTAAACGAGCCATTCCGCCGTATATGTCATGATTTTAATTCTCATTCCAGCACATTTGACTTATCTGACTCACTTTTCAAAATTAAAAAGACTTTATTGTTTTCTTTTAATGAATGAAAATGTAACAATTTATTATATTGTAACTATAAATCTTAGCTGTTGAAATTTTTGTTTCTGTACCTGAGCTGTTTTAGATCTCAACACTTAAAAACAGTCTTGCCTTTTCTGACTCGGCTAATTTCGCACGTATGCGGATTGCGCCCCTCGCGTCGGTTGGCGGGAGGAGGGTAATCGTTGGGTTATTATTATAATACAACGCCATCAGCTTCATTATTATTGCTACTATTATAGAAAATATTATAATCATTCATTTCAAAAAAAGTATAACAAGTAAGGAGCCAAGTCTCCGTACGGACAATAATATCTGGTTTTATTACAAGATGTTCAATAAATAACTCTAATTTGTTGAAATTTGTATTAAGACTTCTAACATTTAGGTGAACCATCAAGAAATTGCTACTAGATAACGTATTATTTAAGTTTTATAAATCAGTAAAAATTTCTTCAATCTGCATTTCTTCTTTATCAATCATCGGTTGTTTGTAAAGACCAATTTCCAATTTTACCTAGTGACTTGGCATTAATATTTCCTATGTGAGCGGCCAAGGTGCGTTTATGAGTTCCTATACTTAACATAAGTTTCATTGAATGCATAATTGTTTATGATATTGTTATTTTAATAGTTTCTTAATGTTTTCTTTATAACTTTGTTAATTTTCATGAATGTTTTCTACTACTTCCGATAAAGCTGTAATTTCTTTTTGAATTAATTTGTTTCAAAGCTGTTTCGATCTCGCGTATTTAAAATTGTTTGATGGTATTGTCTACAAATTATGACGGAGCAGCTGCAATGAAAGTAAAATTTAAGGGTTGTGCAGCAGAAGTCAAGAACATCTGTCACTATGCCATTTACCTTCACTGTGCAAAGGTGTTAATACACACCTAATGTCACGCCTATCAGAACTTGCATTGGAATAATTAAAAATTATATTTTATATTTAAATTTAATTTAATTTTTTTTGTCGTAGTATCAAAGCTAGTCTGACTTTTGCTAAAACAAAAATCCAGGAAGCTGTACCAGACTCAAAACAAACTCGTTTATTTAAATTTTGTGAAACACGGTGGGTGGAGCATCTTGCATCCTTCCATCGATTTTTTGAAGTGTATGAGAGTATTTGTTTGGCTTTGGAAGAATGAAATCAAATGATGACCAATTAAAACTTCTGAGTTCGTATTCGCTTTGGCAGTTTTAATGCCTGCGATTTAAGTCTATGCGTTCAATACGTAATACAATCCATAATGATTTCTTTCTTAGACCACTATTTAGAGGAATTGGATAATAGATTTCTTCATTATTTATAACCAATTTGTAATTGATAGTTTATCAGTTTATAGTAACTATATTATTGTGAATTATTAGTTTCAGCATACTATTGTGAATTATCGCAGTGTCCTTTTTGTCTTTGTCCTTTGTTTCGGTGTCCGTATTGTTGGAACTCCGAATATAATTCACTCTATTTCCGAACGCCGAAGAGACTGGCTGGGACGCTGCGGTTATTGTGAACACAAATAAATTCGAAAGCCATCGGGAATTGAGACATCTTTATTTCGCAAGACTATTGCATTCGATCATACTGTCGCCAAATTGAATGCAAACAGCCAATTCTTGCATAGCCGTAACTCCTGTCCCAGCGGAGTATACAATTTACCTTATAAAGCTTATTGTGGAATAATTATATTTTCACGTGCCACCTTCGTGACACAACTTGATTACGTTCTGCATTCAAACAGGACGCCAACCCACTATTCACCGCCAACGTCGTAACCATTATATCGCCAAAAGGGACGCCATCCCGCTAGTCTTCGCCAACGTCGTAGCCGTTATACGCCAAACGGAATCCTGCTGTTCGTAGCCAACGTCATAGCTGTTATAAATCCAAACGGGACGCCACCCTATATATAAAGTTATCGGAACATACATATTTTCCAGTAAAGTTCCTTGTGTCGCCGCCATACTAAAACAATAAACAACTCAACAAGAATAAGTATGCGAATTCAACAACAAGACAACGTCAAAGATCAAAGCTTAGACAATAATTATGTCGTAACGGATCGAATCATCAAGTTAGTGCATCAAATAATTCCAGCGCATCTACTAAAGTTACAGTAGAAAATCAACAACAAATGCTTATTGCCATGCAAAAGCAGATCAACGCCCTGAGTACCCAGGAAAGGTTAAAAGAAAGTCAACGCCAGTGTGAACTTTTGACCGCAGAACCATTCGAATATATCTGTACAGTCAACGTCAACGCATACAGCCGCCAAGCATACGGATACTCAATGCCCTTATGAAAGTACTACACAGCCGACTTTGACCGCCTCTTCGATAGGTACTACGTCTTCAAGTTCATTACAGTCGCAACCAAAAGTTAACGTTATACCAGACTGTTTATATTTGCTCACACTGCCGACAAAATTTCAAGATCTGCCAGAGATGCTGAAAGGGTGAGGCTAGAGAGATAGTGCACTCACACCTAACCTTCCGGATAATGTTTCTGCCGTTATGAACACTTTGCGATTTCGAATCGCCCGTCGAGAATTACTCATTAAATGTGAGCTACTCGTACGGGAGATGCCATATATCAGAATCTGCCACCGACAAAATAATCCTGTTCTCCGTCAAAGTAAAACACCTGGCCGAGTTCCTACAAACCATAAATGGTCAGCAGCACTTGTGTAACCCAACATTTTTGGAGAAGCTTGTGGTAAAGCTACCTTTGAGCAAGAAACTCGAGTGAGCAAACACCTCATCGATGATACAGCCATATCCCACAATTAAAGATTTCAGCTCATGGATTAGTTTAGTGGCCGATCCAATATGTACAGTGCAAGATAGTAGGAGGACTCGTTCAAATAAACCAAAGCGCTGCGTTCTCCTTCAAGCCGCCAACAATATTAGAGAAATCCTATGTCCACCGTGCCATGATGGACACTACATCTTGTGGCATTCAAGTCGCTAAGCGTCCGAGAAACATAAGCTTCTTCACTTATGTTTCTCCGGCCTTCAGGGTGGTCATACCACAAGAGATTGTCGCCGACCGAAAATCTGCAAAACAAGCGGATGCCAAAGAGTACATAATAAACTGTTACACGAGCCATTGAGAATCATGTCAAAGCCGCAACCGATTCTACCTGGACCAACAACGACAACGACAAAACAAAAAGTGTTATTTAAAATAGTTTCACATACAGCATAAAGCACGTATTGAGACTTTCGCTCTACTGGATAAAGGATCATCGACAACTATGGCTGATTCTTCTTTGATTGAGAAGCTCGGAGCAAAGGGTTTCCAAAGCGGAGTATACCTACAGTGGTTGGGTGGAAGAGTTGATAACGCAACTATCGTCGCCATCGAAATTAGTGGTTCCGGTGTCCAGAAATATATATGGCATCATGTCTACGGTATCCAAGATTTACAACTTCCAATGCAAAATTTACAGAAAGCTGATGTAGATGCAGCTCGTTTGAAAAGGATGTCGATTTAAGCGTAGGACATCGCCGTTCTCAAGTTGCTTATCGGATTAGACCACAGTCACTTCGAAATTCCTATTGAGATCGAGATCCTGCAACACAAGGGCTCTTATGCGGTCCGTATGAAGTTAGGTTGGGTCCTTTTGGGCCGACTGACAACTTCAATAAAACGAAGGCGTCGTGTTTGTAGTGTAATAGCCGATTATGATAAAAGAGCGCGCCAAATCCTCGAGTCTACAGTCACACAGTTAACGGGGGTCCACCTCCCCGAAAGCTACTCCATGGCCGAAAGAAGACTGGTTTGAATCGAGCCTAAGATGAAACGAGACCGGATGAAACATTTGCCCGAGAGTATCGTGCAGTCAAATAGGATTACATGACAAAAATTCTGCCAAAAACCAAAAACGTCTGGAAGAAGCTGCGCTTACAAATCCAAGAACGTGATACCTTTCACACTTCGGTGTCAATGGTTGTTCACTAAACAGTTTCCTGCTAAAGGGCCCAATTTCCATCTCCACCGACATTAAAGAGATGTTTCTCCAAAGACTTCTTTGCGGGACGGTACCAAAAAGATCCGCCCAGATGAATACCTAGTGATGACATTTAGAGCTTCATGTTCGCCTCAACAGAGCCAAACGTTAAAAATATTAACGCACTTGAGCACCGCAAACGCTATCCAAAAGCCCACGATTCTTTCACACAGCATCATTATGCACTTAAATTGCCAATGGAGTTAGAGTGGAATGTATATTCCCTAGAAAGCCGGGTTTGAATTACGTAACTGTTCTTGAAATTTCTTAGAAGCTAAAATCGCCTGAAATGGTTACCAATCGGAACAATTGACAGAGAACGTAGTCACATTAATAGTAGAACGTGTGTTTGGAATATATTGGCAACCAAGTAACGACGTATTTAGCTACACACTAAAATTTCACAACGTAGACCCAAGTCATCAGTGAAGACAAACGACAGTCCAAAAAGAGCAATTAACCATAGTTACGTCAGTATTTGATCTGCCTGGGTTTTTATCCAAATTTATGGTCAACGCGAATTTATTGGTGTTCGAATCGTGGCGTTACGAATTTCAGTGGGATTAGCCCTACCCAAACCTATGTGTTAAAAGTGGGACAAGTGTCGCCGTTAGTTAAAGAATGTTTTGAATTTTCAGGTCCCCCGTCACTATTTCACCCGTGGACCACCTGCCGAACTGTAACTTCATATCTTCATAAATGCCGAGAATATCATCAACTCCAAAACACTCACACATATGCCGCTATCGTCAGACCACGATAAGCCACTCACTCCGAACCATTTTCTGCTTGGTAATGACAATACTTCACAAACACCAGTCATCAATAATTCCTTCGCGAAACCCTGCGCACTTGGCAAACAGTGGCTCATCGCCCGACAGTTAAAAGACACGTTTTGGGGACGATGGATCCTGGATTATTTGTCGACACTTAAACGTGAAATAAATTGGTGCGAAAGGGCGAAACCACCATTTGTATGCGACGAAACCATTTGATTGCGACGTCAATATCCCACAGAACAATGGTGTCGTGGTGGGGTAGAAGCGATACACCATGGATGTGATGATATTATCAGAAGAGCTGATGTACGCAGCAGCAGTGGAATCCTTAGTCGCCTCGTGTCAAAGTTGACCGTTTTGGCCATGGAGTAAGTAAACCGGATCGATTCCCGGAGGAGGCAATGTAAAAAAACGGCGATTAGTTGTAACGAATTTGTAATTAATTGTTTATCAGTTTATGGTAAGTATATCATGGTGGATAAATAGTTTAAGCATACAATTGTGAATTATCACAGTGTCCTTGTCGTTTGTTTTTGACGTTTGTTTCGGTGTCCATATTGTTGGTACTTCGATTATAACTCACTCAATTTCCGAACGCCGAAGAGACTGACTGAGACACTGCGGTAAGTTGATCTTCCAGATCATGAAATATTGCAATAACCCTGTTTTATAGTGAGAAATAAATTGTTGTTGTTGTTACTGTGTATTCACGTGTCCGAAATGTGTGTGCACATGTTAACACAATTAGATTCGCCAGCCATCGGAAATTGAGACACTCGTAATATTTTATCAAACATTCAACATCTTCTTCCAACAGAAATTCCAAACCTGGATTCAAAACAATTGAAACAGACTGTGGAAAGTTTTGAAAAACAGCAGGCAAACCACGTCACAGTTACTGAAGAGTTTGAAGTTGAAGTTACAATGTGGAAAGGGTATTTGTATTTAACTGTGGTATTTAACTGGTATCGAAAAATCACATTTTTGTACTTAAACTCATTAAATTAAATCAGAAACTCAACCAGCAAAACTCTATTTTTTATAACACTTTTATTAGCATCACCTGTATGCTGTGCTAGCGATAACTTGAGTATAAATAGAGCTTTCTTGATGAAACTTGCTGCATATGTTCCTTAGTATCCAAGTAAGGTCGGTATTGCAGATTGGCGAATAGGACAACTGCCACGTCCACAAAACTCAATTAAAAAAACCTATGAAGTACCACAACTTGGTATTAAATTAAGATAATGTACGAAATGTAATTTGGTACAGAGGGTCGCGGTAACAAGAGACTCCTATTGGCTGAATATTTTTTTAATAAGGGCGTACCTCCATTTCCTAAATGGTTTAATGTACATATCTTCCTAACTGCTGAAGCTAACTCAACACAATTTTCTTGGGGGAGAACTTTTTATTCGCTGTGAAAATCTCTCTCCCTATAATGATTATGTTGAAAACTACTAAATGTGTGATAACTCACTGAATAAATGCGCCAAAAGCATTAAATTTCACAAACAAGATGGTAGGGAAGCATTTTATTGCAGAAGGTGTAAAAATTTAACAATGGGCATGGCACCACCAACCTTCAGGTAAAATCCTATACCATTCCTATCACACAATGTGAAAATAGACGAAATGGTACAACGGTCATAAAACTATGCAACCTAAAATATGAAAAAAGGGTCCCTAAAACTATGCAGCTAAAGGCATTAACTGCTGTTATTTGAATAACAAATTTACTCAAACGCATTTTTAAAGAATGTGAAAATAATATACAATATAATAAGTATGTTTTAAAATACTAAAAACATTCTTTTAAAGCACTTCAAACTAAAAAGTGAAAAATAATTCCTTATATAAACTGATGACAGTAATGTTGACCGAAAGATACCTGTATTGTTGTGAGAAAAGCGTGGTATGGTTTGTGCCATATTTTTCGTATATCGAGCGGAATGCGACTAGCGAAGATAGATAGTACGGCCTTACTCTTCTCAATATCCATAGAGATATTGATGTTTCGAACGAAGAAATTTTGAACATCATGGCTTCACAGCCTAGAAGACTAATCGGCTTACTGAGCATACTATTCGCAACACCATCACCCATCTTGAGGCCGAGCATTCATTATTGGATAATATTCGACCGAATAGAGCACGTCTAGCACGCAGTGAAGAAAATATAGCGGCCGTAGAAGAGAGTGTTTACGAAGACCGTGGAGAGTCGATTCGGCGCCGTTCACAACAACTCGGACTGACGTATGGAACGACTTGGCGCATTTAAATAGATAGAAAGATATGGCTAGAGGTATGCACCACGTCCTATGGTCTATTGTGCCCTCCCCTAAGTCATAACGACTCATATACATACACATGCGCCAGCATATTGATGAACTCCAATATAGTGCTAGGTGCTAGTGAAATATTATTTGTTTAATTTATATTATAGGTCATAGACTCACTTAGTTTTATTACCATATTTTACTTCGCGTCAGCTAAAATTGTTTTAAAATCATCTTCAAATGAGATACATATGTATGTATTGGGTTGGCAACTAAGTAATTGTGGTAATTGTCATGGAGCTAAATAACTTTATTCTGTAATGTATTGCCCATTTTGATCAATGACCTTTTGCCATCTTTCAGGCAGCATCATAATCCCACGTTCATAAAACTTCCGGTTTTTATTAGCAAAAAACTGAATCAGGTACGATTTGATCATCATTATTGAAATTTTTACCATTCAAGGAGTTTTGTAAAGATCGAAACAAAAAGTAATCCGATGGTGCAAGGTCAGGACTATATGGTGGATGTGGCAAAACATATCAACCAAGCTCCAATAATTTTTGCCGAGTGACCAAAGATGTATGTTGCCTTGCATTGTCATGATGGAATACAACACCTTTTCGGTTTATCAATTCGGACCGCTTTTCTTCAACTGCATTGTTTAATTTCGTTAATTGTTCAATGTAGACAACAGAATTGATCATTCGGGTGAGTGGTAAGAGTTCAAAGTAGACAATTCCTTTATAATCCCACCAAACTGATAACAAAACCTTTTGATGAATACCAGCTTTTAATGTTGTTTGAGCTGGTTCACCTGGTCTGCTCCACGATCTTTTCCGTTCGATATTGTTGTAAACAACGCATTTTTCATCGCCAGTTATCAATTATAATTTTCATTACGTTTCTTTAGCAAATCGCATGCGTTGCGTTAAATGCGTTTCTTTCAGTTCTTGAGGAACCCATGTATCGAGTTTTTGAACATAGCCAAGTTGTTTTAAGTGATTTTTAATGCATGTATGTGATACCTGAAGCTTCTCTGCACGATCCGAATCGATTATTGCTTTGATTAGGTTGTCATCAACTTCAACTGGACGACCAGGGCGTTTTTATCTTTGAGTGAAAAATCACCAGAACGAAATTTGGCAAACCAATTTTGACACTGCCGTTCTTTTATGGCTTCGTCGCCACAAACAGCACATAACTTTTTGTGAGCTTGCGATGCGTTTTTCCCTTTGCGAAAATAAAAAAGCAAAATATGGCGAAAATGTTCCTTTTGATCTTCCATTTTTCAACGAACGCCAAACGAAAACTACGCAACCGATCAAAAAACTTACTGTATGACAGCTGAATTTCCAACTATCAAATAACAAAATGTGTTTTACATTTGGACTACGCTATGAGTGAAATCCGCACTTACTTAGTTGCCAACCCAATATTTGGGATATAAACACAACTGAAGAAGGTAAATTTTATAGTTAGAATAACAAAAAGCTCTATATGTACATACAAGTATTTACATATATAGTATTTGGGAGTAAGGGTACACCGTAGATTAAATTCAAATACTTTCGGCATTTAACTACAAGGTGCATGCGTCGATCGAGGAGACGGCGCATTATCGTGCAACAAACGCCAACTTCCATCTTCGCGATATTCGGGCCGAATGCGACGAATACGTGCTACCAAACGCTTCAAAACTCCAAGGTAGAATACCGCGTTAACGTTTTGGCCGGGTGGAACAAATTCTTTGTGGACAAAACTCTTGGTATCATAAAAACAAATCAGCATTGTCTTCACGTTTGACTCGTGCACTCTGCTACGGGATAGGCAATCATCGCCATAAACTTGTTTCATCAATTGAAACGTTTTGGTAAAAGTTTTACCAAGTTTTACCTAGTTTAAAACAAAACTTAATGTTGGCTCTTTGTTCGATGCTCATTTTCCGACCGACACTACAAATGTAATGTCACATGTAGCGCGATATCTCAGCTGATATACAAGTCAGCTGTTATATAAATTTTATACGACAACACTGAAGAATACACAATTGAGGGATAACAATTTCAGACAGATGGCGCTACTAGAAGCCGCGTTGTTTAAAAAGTCCTGGAACTTTTGAATTGTACCTTGTATAGTGTATCCATTATTATACGTTCAGTTAATTCTGATAAGATATCTTACTTATTGACTGATATGTTATTAGAAATACACCATTATAAGAAAAAATATACACCAAATCTTATTAAGATAGCTTACATATTGGCCGATATATGCGATATGAAGTAAGCCAGAAGATATTTATATTAGGTATATGGGGACTAAGGGAAGTATTTACCCCTTTCCCCTTTTTCTGACACACAGCAACATATTCACACATTCTGGGTCATATAATCAGAGAAAACTTAGAAGAACGAGAAGGTGCAGGTTCGACAGCGAACATTTGTAAAATTTGATTGGGGATTTCACCTCACACGCAGGGGAAACAAATAACATTTCTCGCGGTTAATCTGTACACATACGCTCTCCTAACATATCCACCGACGAATATTAAAGAGAATATAATAAGTATGCCAAACTGGGAATATTGATATACCAATGACCGAAGATCACGTTTTTTGCATTCATGTCAAAGAGTCAATCTGTCAAAGGACTGACGCGACGACAAAGCGTCACCACATTGTGTTGTTGGTAAAAATTCCGAGATGTGCCGAAAAAGTAAACGAACGCTCGCTTCCCTTGTCGCTCTAACAGATTTGCCAACAAATCATTGTAAATATGTACTACAAACTGGCACCATATTTCCTAAGTATTTCATATTACAACGCCAACAAATTCATTCATAAGGAACGCGCGTATGCTACAAAACGAAGTGCGATCGTTTATAAATCTGCACTGCGCTCTTTTTTCTGTGCGCCTGGTCAACCAAATTTGGTTTTCATATGGAATTCCTACCGCAAATGGCGAAAATGAAATTACAATAAATAAAAATGACTGAAATTGAATTTGAATTCCTTCAGTAAAATTGAAGAATCAGCAAAATTTCGATTTTAAAATTTGTATCACTGAAAATCCTTCCATCCCCCTCGCATTTGAATGTTGCCAACAAGCTGCTTCTTCACAACATTTGCTAATAATTAGAAATTGAAGAATTTGTCTGATGCTCCCTTCAGAAAGGAGAATTGGCAACATGACCTATTAGCGAGTTAAAATAATATTTTGATTTTATTCATATTATGCACTATATATGGCGATAAATTAAAAAAAATATATAAAATTGACATGTATATGAAATCATTAACTACTTCTATATACTCTAAGCACACTCCATATAGTACTTTTATATGTTTACTTACTATCATTATTTCATAGTTTGTCGATTTAGTCCATTTTATTTAAATACGACGCTATGAAAATGCAGCCCAATCGGTAATAGCAATATTTCAAAAGAGCATAAGTCAACTTTCAATAGCAAACCACTGCAAAAAGGACAAACGAGACAACATAGCCGACCGACATTGTCGTAAAATTGTCGATTCAAATAAATTTTGTCAACTCCGCCACGATGCGCAAAATTCGGCGTCAATATGTATGCGAGCTCGTATGTATTGCTCTGTGTGTTTGTCGGCAAAGTTGTCATTTCGTTTTTTTCAACGTTTTGTCAGAGCTCAATTTATTGCTCCGCCTCGTCTCCACGCGAACTCGCCGTTACTTCCATGGCGTGCCATCATGGTCAGAGGCGTTTCAACGGAGGGCTTTTATCATATTATTATATTGCTTAATTTTTATAGAAAAATACTGATATCTTAGGGCTTAGTTACGCAATATTATAATATTTACGTAAAAATATAAATACTCATAAATTCACACTTATTTAATCGTTTTTAAAATAAACTCGATTGATAAAAATATATCTGAAATAAATATGTGGTAGTACCCCCCCGGACCCCTCCTTGCTTGCGATCGTTCAACCAGAGAACTTAAATGAATGAAGATGTTGTTTTAAGTTCTCTGGTTGAACGATCGCAAGCAAGAAGGGGGCAGGGACGCACTGCCATATAATTATTTCAGATAGTTTTTATTAATCGAATTTATTTTAAAAACGATTATAAGTATATTTATGTGTATTTATATTTTTGCGATTATTATTATTATATTACAAAAATAAGTCATTAATGCATTAGTATTTTTCAATACAATTAAGCAACATATTAATACAATATATTAGGAGTCCTCACTTGACACGCCTCTGTGCATGGTGGCAAGCCAACGAAATAACGGCGAGTTCGCGCGGACATTGTGTTGTTGAAAAAAACCAAATGACGACTTTATCCACAAACATACATATATACATATGAGCTCGCATACATATTGACGCCGAATTTTGCGCATCGTGGCGGAGTTGACACAATTTGTTTGAATCGACAATTTTGCGACAACGTCGGTCGGGTATGTTGTTTTATTGCAGTGGTTAGCTATTAAAAGTTGACTTATGCACTTTTGAAATATTGCGATGATTGTATAAGCCTAATTTTAGTAGTATAAAATTGGTTGGCAACCCGTACAAAGTGTGCTTTTAGTAGCAGAATATTGGTTGTCAACCCGTTCCAAGTGTGATTTTAGTAGTAGAATTTTCGAGGCAACCCGTACCAAGTGGGATATTTTAGCGTGTGTATTAGTGAAAATCTTAGGATTGGCTACTTGTAGATTTATACAATGAGCTAGAACGAAGCAAGTTGAACTAGAGAACTTAAATGAATTGTTGTTTTAAGTTCTCTGGTTCAACTTGCTTCTCGCAAAAACCAAAAAGTGTAGACAAAAGTCATTGCTTGCGAGTGGCAAGAAGAAGCAAGCATCAGCGTACGAGTATTTAAGAATGTATGTGTGAATAAGGAAATATTCAATAAACCTAAACATATGAACAAAAATTTTCTGATATATTTTAATGATATCAGGAAGTAAAATATGCTATTAAAGTAATTGAATTGAGATATGCTTAGATTCCAATTAATAAAATAAAAAATTAAATAAAATTTCAGTTTCATGAGTTTTAGGATTCGAACGTACCTTTTTATTGTTCTCCTTTTCGCATATTGTGTGGTGTATTTTTCTTTTTCAAAGTTATATTTTTCGATGTTCCCTCATCTGGAATTACAAATTAGTACACAAAAAGATTTCATTTAACATTTGCTCCTTCTCTATTCATTAACATTCTCTGACTCAAGTATTGCAATGAAATATTTTGCCTAATTCAAATCTTATCAGATATTTTTATATACAATTTTTTTTTATAATCCTGTTTAATTGAAAGATATTTTAATTCTATTTTCATATTACTTCGCTCATTATTAATATTTTCTTGTCCGAAGTCAATTATTATCCATTTTATTACTTTAATTTTTGTTTATGCGCATACCAAAGAACATCTTGTATATGTATGTATATACGTTTTGCTTATAGAGTGGTGTAATTCGTTGCGTCGCCTGATAGGTGTAGTGACATGTTATTTTCGAACTTTTTGTGACTCCATTAAATGAATTATTTTAAGAAATATATGAAAATATGTTTAAATTATTAATAATAACTCACAATAATGTAAAAATTAATTAACATAAAATAATTTAAAAATAATAATAAATAATAGTTCAATAAAAGGGAATATGTTTCAAATGGCATATCAATATTCCCAGTTTTGCTTACATATTATATTCTCTTCAATATATGTCCTTTGGTTATGTTAAAAGAGCGTATGTTTACAGATTCACCGCGGTTATAAAAGCGAGAAATGTTATATGTTTCACGTGCATGTGAGGTGAACTCCTTGATAAAATCCTACAAATTGTTCGCTGTTGAACCAGAGAACTTAGAACAATGAGAAGGTGCAGGTTCGACAGCGAACAATTTGTAGGAACTTATCAAGGATTTCACCACACATGCACGAGAAACAAATAACATTTCTCGCTTTTATAACAGCGGTGAATCTGTAAACATACGCTCTCTTAACATAACCAAACGGCGAATATTGAAAAGAATATAATGTGTATGCCAAACTGGGAATATTGATATGCCATTTGAAATATATTCCCTTTTATTGAACTATTATTTATTATTTTTTAAATTATTTTATGTTAATTCATTTTTACTAATTAAAAATTGAGATCAAGGAGTTCACCATTTTCTGTAGTATTTACTGTTATTTAACAGAAATGAGTATTTATTACAACGTTCTCTGACAAAGTACGTATCTCCCAACATAAAGTGTAAAATGATCCATTTGCGTTCTCTGATTTATGTTCTCTGAGTAACATTCCGTCAAGAGGAACATTTTGACAATCGGCACACCATGAACCAGAGAAATTCATTCATTTAAGTTCTCTGGATATACGTTCTCCGTTCTCTGTCTCGGGTCAGAATATGATTAAATTATTGTGAATACTATTGGCAATTTATTCCATTAAATTTATTTAAACAATAATTGCACCCTGTAATTCCATTTCTACATGTTTTAGGGCAAACTGAGTCAAATAGTAAAAAGACGAAAGGTTTCCATCGGCGTTTGCTTCCTTTTTAAAGAAAAATAGTTTTATAATACCAAATTGTGTTAAAATGTCAAATAGTACATTCACTACTTCAAACCGCGGCCCAACTCAAATAAAACCTCAAACAACTAAAGAATTAGGCTCACCCCAAAATACGTCATCCATCACATTACTACCAAACGAATTGTCCCGCGTTTTAGATCAGCCGGAACGACAACGGTCGTTCAATTATTCTGACACATATTTCGGGAATTACAATGACACTACTTGTGATATTTTGAACATTAGTGACAGGTCCACGTTAGAGGAAAATAAACATATATTTTTACTTAAGGAAAAAACAGATTCATTATTTCCTCAATTCCTAGAAGTTTTGCAAGGGCGCACAAATGACTCTGAAGTTTTTGATACAATACAAAATTTGATACACATATGTGCTGGAGTAGCTGATGAGGTACAGAAAGCCATTCGACAGAATGCGACTATCTCCAAATTTCAAATTAAAAATTACATGTGGTTGGACCAAGAAATGAAAACATGGAGACTGTTATTTGCCTTATACAAAGATAGGATCATGGTGCAAAGAGAAGATGTTGGTATGGATTGTAATATGCCACCTTTAGGAGGTTCAGAGAAAGAAGTAATTGACCAACTCTATGCATGTATGTAGCAATAAATATATTTGTATAATTAATAAAAAAAAAATATAACACATTTTCTTTAATATATAGGCAACTCTACATTACGTGAGTACCAACTGATGGTCGATTGGCTTGAAGCATGTTACGATAGAAAGGATTCTCAACCTCAAGTTGGTCATGTTACTAATCGCGCAGTAGGTTGGGAAAACACTCTTTTTCAACTACAAACCCGTCGTGATGTAGCTTTTGGCACAGGAGTGGCTATTGTCAAAGCCTTAGATCCGGATGCTCCATATCGTGAACGTCGTCCACTTCATGCGCTGGATGAGGAAGATAATTTACGTCTATCACGTTGTATTTTTACAGAAGTTCGTCAAGGACGAATTGACGAAGCAATGGCTATTTGTAAACATAGTGGACAAACATGGCGCGCTGCTATACTAGAGGGTTGGCGTCTACATGAAGATCCCAACTATGAAACACAATTTAATACTCGAGAAAAGCAGCCAATCGAAGGGAATCCTCGTCGTGATATTTGGAAGAAATGCGCCTGGCTAATGGCTGACTGTAAAAAATTTGATGAATATACCCGCGCAATAGCTGGAGCGTTTTGTGGTCACCTCGAGTCTTTAAAGGCATTATTAAGTGGTTCATGGGAGGATTTACTTTGGGCATATCTTAAAGTGCAAATTGACATACGTGTGGAGAGTGAAATACGTGCTTGCTGCATTAAAGCTTACCTTCCGCTACCCGATACTTATTGGAATTCGAAAATGTCGTTGGAACAGATATTCGAAGAACTGTCGGTTCACAAAGACGTAGCCGTCCGCGACTACACTTGCAGTAAAGTCGGAATAATACAAAAGTGCTTGATATTGGACAATATAGGAGAATTGCTACAAATAATGCGCCGTTGGGTTGAGGAGTCTGATAAGTCCAACGATCCACGAGATCCTCATCTTCTACGGTTCATCACGCACATTGTACTTTTTCTGCGACAAATTGGACGTGTTGATAAGGAAGAAACAGCGGACTTTATAGTAGCGGCATATGTTGAAAGTTTAATCAAAATGGGAGATGCACAATTAGTTGCTTTTTACACTGCTGCGTTGCCTGGAAAATTTCAAATGTTTTTATATTCCAAATTTCTAGAAGGAATTACGGAGAATGCGAGTCGCTCAGCGGCACTCACGGAGGCCATAAATGCTGGTCTTGATGTAGAGAATATTACACGCCATACAGTTGATACTATACGTCAACGTATGCCAGAAATTACCGACAAAGCTGCCATGTCTGACGTTAAAATCAAAATTGGGGAGATTTCACCTTTCGATCAGCGAAAAATTAGTGCGTTGGAATGGTTAACTTTTTTACCAACCCAACGTGGCGACCTGTTGTGGCAAGCAAACGCGATGATACGTAATTTTCTTGGCGAGAATAAATCGGAATGCGTACGCGCAGTTTATGAAATTGTCCCTACCGATTCACTTTCTCAAATAATTAATATATATGGTTCAAGTGAGAACTTTCCTTGTCGCGAAGAGTGTAGTATAAAGGAATATCTAAGTTATAAAATTTACTTAGCTGCTATCGACAGTTTTGAGGAATGGTCACGGCTATTGCATAGTCGTCCGAAGGAACCAAATCTTGTCACAGCTGGCGCAAATTTTACTGAACGAGTTGCATCAGAGCATAAAGGGCAAGTTTATCATGCAGACCTAAAACGCTGGAAAGCAAATCTTGAAGAACAAACTAAACGTAAGCTAAAAAATTATAAACTTACATTATAGTATTTTAATAATATTTTTCATCACTTATCATTAGTAACACGAGATGCATTATTCAATATATTACTCTTCCCGGAAAAGGGGTGGTTAATTGATCCAGATACGTCAAAAGATCCTGTAAACATCAATGGATTAGATTGGCAGAATCGTCAAATACAGTTAGTAAAAATACGAAGTATCTGCATACCCGAGATGGTACTTCTATTGTATAAAGTTTTACACGTCTCAGGAGATTACCAAGGATGTGTTAAGCTGTCAGACGAAATCGCCTCGGAAACTCGACAACTGTATAAAGTGTACACAAAGCATAAGCTGGCTGAACTGCTCTCCAAGTTAGCCGAATCCTCATTGCAGTTGTTGAACAAAAAGCTTGACCCATGGGGTTTCGTTTCTACACTTTAAATATTTTGAAATTAATAATAGAAATTATTCGTTTCAATAATTATTTTTTTATTTAGATTATTAATCAATTCCAATTGAATTAAATTTGTGTTTTTACAAGTTAAAAGCCTAACTGTTTTGTGTTTAACAAACGAATTGCACATTGAAAAATGTATTATAGTAAAAAATACTGTTTACGTTTTATACATGAAGATTGCGGTAAAGCTTTATCAAACATATAATGAAATTGTAGAATTGAACTGAACCATCAGAAATCATAGGCTTTGAATTTCTTTTCCCGCCAGTTCACCTGAATCTTAAAGGTGTAAGATCTTTGATCTTGTAAAGGTAGGTGAGTCAAGAAGGAAGTGTTGAGATGTTTCTACCTTGTGTTTTTCCATGCAGCTCATACAATTAGCATACGTTCTAAATCTTACCGCGTGGATATCAATAGGACGATAATTAGTTAGAAACCCTACAATTAAGGAAAGTCAAGAAGACAGCATACCTCCTCTCTTTTCACCGACAGTGAAGCGAATTCCCTTGAAATCTTATCAGCTAGAGAATTGCATGTGTCTTAGTATGTGGCCCAGTCCGTTATAATGGTCAGAAAGCATAAAGCTGGTGTTCATGAATAGTCCACGCAGTAAGTTCCTCCACCAACCGTCCCCCAATCTTTTAGTCATCCGTAAAGAAGCACATTGTCTCTGCTTCAGCGGCCTCTTTTTACCTACAGTACAGTGCAAAACCGAACAAGTTATCAGAAATTTTATTTTAACTCTATATATAAATAAGAAAACACAGCCATAATTAAATAAATTTTTATTACTTTATTCGTAAGATTCGTAACTTAATTTCAATTAAAAATTCGAATAAAAATAAAAAAAAAATAACCAGAGAAAAATTTATAAGAAGCAGTATTTGTTTAGTTCTCTTTGATTTACATTGAAATTCTGATACTGACAACTAACAAAAAATATTTACCTTTATTAGTTTTGTTTGCTTCTTTGGAATACTGACTTCTGAATGCCTCACTTTGTGCTTTTGATATTAGTCGTAAAAAAGTATTTGATGTGAAAGCATTGTTAACTAAAAAAGTAATGAGAAAAATAAGTGATTCATGAAAAAAAAAACGAAGAATTAACTATAAGCCAACGTAATGTAGTTAATTTTCCCTAGAGCCGAAATGGTGTATGTGCGCGGGCGGCCTAACATACTCTTAACCTTGTGCTTGTTGGTAACAACTACAACGGACTATACAACGCCACTTGAGGACATATTTCCTGCCTGAGGATATACACCACTTGTATGGACTTTTCAGTATTAATGCCAATGTTCTTTTTGGTGAGCCACGATTCTTAAGCAGTCAATTGCGTTTGCAGTTTTCTGGAGGCAGCAGTAGAATTACTACTCGACGCCAACAGTGCAGTGTCATCCGAATAGATGCCGTAATTGTGGAATCAGGCGCAAGAACGCTGCCTTGAGGTATACCAACGCATATGGGCATCAGAACCGACTCAGCATCACGTCACCTGACGTAGAACGTCCGATTATACAAGTATGACTATAGCTTAGGTAGTAAGGCATGGGCAGCTTTTCCTTTAACTTATATAATAGACCTAGGTGCCAGACCTTGTCAAATGCTTGGCGGACGTCAATGTAAACTGAAGAACAATATTTACAATTTTCCATTGCATCAGTTATAAAGTTTTCTACTCTGTGGCATTGCTCAATTATGCCATGAAACTTTCTGAAGTCAGACTGGTGATCTGGGTTGAGCTGTTTCTCCTCCAGCAGAGGCAAGATACTGCGCAAAAATATTATTTCAAATATTTTAAAAATAATTACCAGTAGGCAAATCGGTCAATATGAATTGACCAGATGCTCAGGTTTACCAGGCTTCAAGCTTACCAGGCTTCGGTCAAAATTATCCCAGCACATTTCCATTGAGAAGGAAAATAGCAAAGTATGAGCACACCATTAAAGAGCGTGACGATAATGTCGATAACGTTTTCTGGAAGCGCTATTAAGGCTAGTGCATTAATTCTTTTATAACCTGGAGATTTTTTATAGCATTTATTTCTGCGTTTGGTACCTCCATTTGAAAAGCAATGTTTAAAAACTGCGGGAGTTGGCGAGCCAGCTGAATGGCATGTCAAGTCTTTGTTCCAAATATAGTTCAAATGTAGTCTGCCTTTCGTGTAAGAAATACCAGGATGGTTTGATTTGATTAGTTCGTATCCTGGGATTTTGAAATATGACCGATAATTAAAATAGGTTTCTGCTACAAGAGGTACATCGATGTTTTGTTGGTTTTAATATAATGTTCTACTTCGGTTCTACTTTTGCATAGACCTTTAGCATTACATATAGTAATTTTTAACCATACTTGCATTGATTAATTGACGTCATGACATCATCGACGATTGGTGATGTAATGGGTTGGGGAGGGTTACCAGACTGGACTTGAGGTCCGTGGCGCAGCAAACTGCAAGTAATAAGTTGACTTGGTGGAGCAGACGAAGCTTCATTCATCATTAGGCTGTTAGTGTCTGCCTTGCAATTTAAACAATCGTTGGGTTGTTTGCTTGTAGACTTTCAAGACTTTGTAGGATGTAATGTGCTCTTCTCCACAGTGAGTACAGCAGGTAGCGGCTTCCCTTACTTTAGCAGTCGAATTTTGGTCGTTTTGTGTACATTTAGCACTTCTTAAAGGTTTGTGCAGAATCTCTGCATGTGTCCGAACTCTTGGCATCTATGACACTGGACTAAGTCAGCAGTTCCTTGACGGTTCGAAACTTACAACGGCACGACAGAGCCTTATGTTCTTGTTGTTAGTGCTGGGCTCCCAATTACACTGTTATTTTGGAGACAGTTCTTTCTTTCGTTGTGGGCTATATAACAATACCCAATCTCATTCTCTAAAACCTTCAGAGTTCATTGCCTTGTCGTATTTTGCTTTTATTTTATCGCTCATAATTTTGGTGCGCTGTCTTACCATAGCATGTATGTCCCTCATCTTGTCTTCTAGGATGCTATTGACTTCCTTAGCATTCCTTCCTCCGGTGGCGTTAATTCCAAACTGCTAATCAAATGGTAACCGAAAACCATTACCAACCCTGGCTGGAGTCTGCCCCGGTGTTTCATGTACAGCGGACCGATAAGCTATCAGGAACAAGGATATATGGATATCCCAATCTTTTTGATACTTGTCCACAACTTTTCTCAAATATTCTTCCAAATTTCGATTGAATCGTTCCACCATGCCATCGAACTGCGGATGTAGTACAGTTATACAGGTTTTCCGGATACCCAGTTTCTGGCATATCTCCTGTATTAGAGCTGATTCAAAATTTCTCTCTTGGAGAATGTAATTCTATTGGAACACCATTTCTCGGTACCCAATTGTTGATGAATACATCCGCTACTGTTTCTGTCTTTCTTCGTTACATCATTCAACCTTCTATAGTCCATACAGAATCTTATGTTGCCATCTTTCTTTTTTATCAGTACTCCAGGCGAACTTCATGGACTCGCTGATGGTTCGATTAAGCCGCTCATTTCACGAATGGTCTGGCTTAGAACTTTGGTCTTGCGTCACCTGTGATTTGGAATCGTCTTTATCAAATATGGTTGAGTATCTTAGAAGGAGTTGTTTAGCCTTATTTTGACGGTCTGCCTCTAGTCCCTTGGTCCATGCGTTAATTTTGCTCGATATGTAACTTTCGCCCATTGAATCTTTCTGAAGACGTATTTCACAATTTATCACGGCAAGTAAGTTTGATGTAGATTCTTTTGTGGCTTCAACAACCCGCAAATTATTGGTCCCATGATCTCCATCTATCTCTGCCCAAATAACTACTTCTGTTTTTAGTGTAATCTGATGGCTCTCTGCTATTATCACTCGTCTAATGTTGTACTCGTTATCATAACCGAACATGAGTATAGCACCTCCATATTTGTATAAGTCATAATCCGGTTCTCCATGTCAATTTTTATTTCTTGATTTGCTAGAAAGTCTACACCAATTCACATATGACTTCGTCGACGATATTTCCCACTATAAACTGTGTAATATCTTTCCAATTACGATCGCATATTACTTCTCCGAATCACATCGAATTATGAAATATGGCGCGCCCGTATCCACAGCCATTATACGCTTTTTGCCGTCTACATACCACTAACGGTAACGTTACTCGTATTCCTGCTTATTTGTGAAATGAAGATTACAGGGAATTTGCTTCCGGGATCTAGCCCGTGTCCTTTTCAAGCTGACTCTATTTAGTTTAACGATTGGTTGGATTTGACATTTGCTTAAATGACCACTTTTTCCGCAGTTGAAACATTTAACCACACCATCATTTTCTTACAGATTTCTGTAGATTTTTCGAGTACTCTCTGCTTCTTTTCTTCTTCTTTTTCAAGTAATAGGTTCATTGATCTTCTATTTCTACTTGATGAGTTTTGAATGTTTTGGACATGCTAACACAGCAAAGCGTGTAGTGTTATCTCGTATTCCATTGACAACGGTCTGAATTTTCGTGTCCTCGATAACCTCCACGGATTTATGTACATAAGTTTAGTGAGCTAACCTCTCTATCTCTGTAGATAACTCCCGCAGAGATTCATTAGCTCTCTGGCGGCGATGTTGCAACTCGTTTTGGAAGATCTGCTTCAATACTGTGCTCTCTTTCTAATGCACCCATCAACGCTTTATAATTACTTGACTCGCAGTTTGGAATGGTTTGTAATATCTCCGCTGCAAATCCTTTTAATGCAACGAATAATGTAGCTACTTTATCTTCAGAGTTCCAATTATTTGAAGATGCTGTCTTTTCGAATTGAAGCTTAAAACATGGAATGGAACTGTGCCATCAAAGGATGGAGATTTTACCTTGGCAGAAGCTTACGACATAATTGGTCGATTTAATTGTAGCTCGAAGAGACGATCTTTCAATTCATTCACTTCAGTTGTAGTTCTTCCGAAATCTGTGATGACACTTCTGCTATTTGTGAGGTCACCTGCGATATCTGTGCATCCTGCTCTTTCAACTGTGAGGACACCTGTACGTCCATCTTGCGTTACGAACTGCTCTTCCAACTGCGTTGATAACCGCGTTTCTCACTGCGACATTTGCTTTGCTCTCTGCTATTTGTAGTGTTATACGTGCATCCTGCTCGTTCCCCTGTGTCGATATTTGCGTTGACATCTGGGACATTTGAGCTGACATCTGCAACATTGCAGCTAAAATTATGTTTATGTCCATAGCGC